ATAGAATGGACGCCGTCTGCCTCCTCGCTGTGTGAAGCCACTCTGAGAACAGCACCCTCTGGTGACAGGCTGCAGTATATGTCATAAATCCAGCCATCCTTATGGGGCTGTGGACAAACTTTAGAAATTTATTACACAGAACATAATTTTTTCTCCCCCCTGTCTGTGATGTTGACATGTAGTTATTGTCAGACCGGTTTGTGCTCAAGTCCTCTTTTTTCTGTACAGCTCCATTTTTAAAAGTTATTAGCGACTCTCCCGCCAAATGCGTACAATGCTACTGCATAAATGGTGGAGTGCGTACAACGCTATTGTGCAATGTTTGTTTCAGGAAGTGGAGAAAAAACGCAGAATTACCGAGAGCTTTCTGGCTTCAAATCTGTATACTGTCAGAAGGCAGAACCAAGTTGTCCATAGTATATACAGTCTATGGTAATACATCAAACAGTGAGCGTGAGCTGGACCTGCTCTTTTGGAAAGCGGTTTGTGATAATGACTTTTGTGATTTGACGTTTTATAAATAAAAATTGATTAAATAATTGATTATGTTAATTCCAACCCTCATTATTTACCTCAACCTCATTATTACAGATGCTATTATGCTTTTTCTCGAGGCCTCTTTACTTTAATTTTCCATAAATCTCACCAAATGTACTAGATCATAAATCTACCACCATATGATGAATTGATAAATCATATATCTTGAATATTTCATGTGGGACAAACAGACTTTACAATAAGAGAAAAAGATATATGAACCATGAAAGAAAACAAACATGAATCACATTGTCGGTGAAATTCAGCCTCACTTTCATCAGACACTCAGTATTTCACATTTACATTTCACACGTGAAACTCAACAGTGACCATGATCATAAATTAAAGAAAGCGTAGTGGATGCAGGCTGTAACAGATCAAAGAAATGTCAATGACCGGTTTTCCTCCCACATGAATATGTCAGCTTACATTTATATATACACTCTTCAGAAAACCAAACACAGCTTGTTTGATAGTATTAGTATCACAGTATTCTTCCATCTTGATAATTTCGCTTGTCTTTCAAACTTCAAAATAAAAGCACACAGATACTTTTAATGCATTAGATGTCATCTGCAGCACGGATAATTAGACCTCCCAAATACCTCATGCTGCTGCTGCTGCTGCATGCATGATGAAGACATCTGTCAGTTTGAAGCATATTGACTTGTATACATCAATCCCAGTCCATGTTTGGATGGGAATTCATGCGGATCAGCTGCTGTCAGAAAACAACAATAATTGTGCAAATAACTCATCCAGTCAGAATCAGACACAGAGCTGAACACGTTGGCCTCACCTAAAAAAAACACATGAAAAATGATGCTAATATGTTTCTGCCCTGGCGTGCTCCGTTGACTGAAAACCACTCAAACCACCAGCGCTGAATTTTGCCCCCACTTGGTTTTTTGGAGTCTTTATTCAAAGATCAGATATACGTATTGTTGTTCGGGGTCCACCTCATGAGAGTCTTGCACACAAAGCAGTGACAACATATAAATAATGTATGAAAATCCCTGCAATCAACTTTTCTCATATTACGGGGGGACCTTTGGGTCCAGAGGCGGCTCAGACTGGTCCTCGGGTTAATGGAGGTGACATCCAGCATGTAGCAGGGTACTAATGATCATCAGTCTGACAGGCAGTCAGGTAATGGGAGCTGTACCTCTCTAACAGATACCTGGGTGACCTTACAGGCCCTGAACTACACGTCTGAAGCAATTACAGGTCTGGGATTTCATCCAAAGTATCTGCAAAGCATTTATCCCCCTCAGGAGGACAGATACAGTGACATTTTGGTTCAGATACACGTAAGTAATCATCAAAAACGTCTTTATTGATAAAGCCCCTAAGGCAGGAGGATGAGGGGATGTCTCCATGGAGCTATTCTTAGCCAATATGTTCCAAAGAGCGACGTAAACGTGAGGCACATGAAAATAAATGAAAGGTTTTCTTGAGCGGCGCTTGAGCTCTGCATTATTAAAATGTCAATCTCCAGCGATCTTTATCAACCTTTCATCATCTGGAATAATATCACATTTCAGGAGATGGTTTGGAGATCAAAAAGAAGAGATAAGAGGTTGGACTTTAAAGAACTAGATATTGTTTCTTTTGAGAAATGATTTCATTATTTTTAAATTCGCCAAAAATCATCATAATACACACGTCTTCATATATTCCCGTGTGCGTGAGGAAAACAAACAAATTTAATTAAACTATTCAAGAAATCAAAAACAACACTGGTGCATTGAGGGATTCATGTTGAAATAATTATAGTCTTTCAGGGTGCTGGGGGAAAAGTCATGATGTGAGGGAACAAAAGCCATAATGAAACGCTGTCAAATGTTGCATCACACTCTCAACTCCATTAGCTATAGGCCTGCTATCATTATCATTTACTGTTCAAGTTAATCACTCGCTGCTTTTTAGTTCTCTCCCCTCAAAGGTGGGGTAGGCAGGATCTGAGGAAGTGACAGTTTTTGGGAGAAATCTTGAATGTAAACACCAACCAGCTCCTCCCCTTCTCTCTGCTCCAGAAAGCCCCGCCCACAAACAGACGCTCCTGCTCGCTCGTATCGTTTCAATCAGATTCAGACATAATGCAGATAAATACTTCAGATAATTACAAATGGGGCCCAGTCAACGTGAAAGTAAAAAGCATTGGTGCTACTGTAGATGCCAACAGACTACCAGAAAACACAATGTTTGCAGGACTTCTACAACGAGGATAAAGTGACATAGTCCAGGACCCGAGGTCAACAATTTAGCGGCGCTATAACACGCTACAGCAGGTCCCGTTTGACAAGAAACACTTCTATTACAGACACTTGTCTTACTTTGTTAAAGCGGTTTACTTGTCCAGTAGAAAGCTTACAGGGTCCGTACGATCCCGAAGCATCCCCCATCATTTTATGTTGACACGGCTTTTTAGCTCTTGTCCGGTCTACCTCCTTTTTAAGCGCCTGTTATTCCGCCAGAGTCTCCGGTATTTAGTTCATTTTCTTGTTTGTGTTGGCAGTCGTGGCCAAAGGAGGATTCAGACAATTTTCCGAACTTTCTGGTTGGTTTCTACTGTCCGATATTGTAGCACGCTAACTTTGTTTGGGCTCCTGAACAACACGGGGGAGCAGTGTCTGCCTCACAACAGGACAGGATGGGAGAGGCAGAGAATGGCTTTGTTTACATTCAGAAAGAGCGGGCCGCTCAAAAAATTTTAAATGTTGATTACACAGACATAACAGAACAGAACACAGCCATATTGTTATATTACCAAATATCATCAATAACTAATAGCTCTTGATTGATATTAAAAGCTTTTTGTATATAGACCACAAAAAAAGGATGCTTCTTTAATGAAATCCTGCCTACCCCAATGCGACTCTTGGCCGTGCAACAAGAGTAAGTTTTATCTGATGGGGTTCCCTTGGTCCTGGTTTTACTGCTGTCGCTGCAAAAAGCACATTTCAAGCCCCCGCCAGGATTTCTCTGCTGTTGAGATACTCCTTCTGAATTATAGCAGCTGCCCGCCTTGCCAATTAACTAACAGCACCTCTGCCTCTATATACAGGGTGCAAGACTTAAGTGTGCGGCCAAACCATAAAAAATGACAGCTGGAGTCTAAATACGTTCACAAATCTAACTGCTTTAATTTATTTTCACCTCCAAACTAAATAGAAACTCTTATCTTTTTTCCAGCACATTAGAGAGATCTAAGAATGTTTTATGGTCAAAAAGCTTTGACCAACTTTTCACCTAAATTTATGACTGGTCCATTAAACAGAAGCAAAAAAATATTCTTTTGTCTTCTCAGGTGCTCAGGGGGGTGTTTAGAGCAGCTAATTGGACTCTATGAAAACCCTGAGATTGGGTATGAGTGACTTGCATACAAATGAACAGAATAATTAGGTGCAAAATCACTACACACTCACTTTCACAGCTTCAGATTTTTAACTACAGGCTAATGAAAAATGTTGCTCTGTGTTTCTGAATGCAACACTGACCTCCTTAAATGAATTCATCAATCAAAGGCACAGCCTCATCAGTTACGCTGATATCACAATCCATCCTGAAACTGGCGGGCGGGCAGTGAGCTTACATACTTGGTGATTATTCACTTATCAAAACCTTCTGGGCTCTTAAAAACTGTGTTGTCTCTTGATGAATAGTAAAAAAATTACTGCTGATTGGTGAAACGCTGGATTTACTTAATGCGGTTTCTAATTAGTATAAAATTATTGTGGATTTTATACTAATGGCACAATTAGAAAACCTTGGAGTGACTTAATCGACCAACTAATCAAGTAATCAACACAGCCGTATAATAGTACTGATATGTAGCACTGGATGGTCAAGTTATTAGATAGTGTTATATTTCTTTAAGGGATATTCCGGTGTAACTGCTTCTCTAGTTATACCAACTTTAGTAACGACCACACGATAGCAATACACAGCGGTCTGAGGAGCCGTAAACAAACCTCGACCAAAACGCCACTCTATAGCCAGGAATAATACTCAGAACAGCACCTAACTTCATCAACAGGACATATAGGGTCCTAGCCACAGTACTAGCCACCAAACATCTTTTTAACTTTGCCTAATTTCTTTAGCAAAGGGACTAAACACAACTCACCTACTCTCTTCCAGCAGCAGCTTGTTTGTAGCAAGACCTCAGGCCAGTCCATTACAGACTACAGTGGGGTGACACAGCTCAAGGAAGAACATTTATGATCATTTCTTCATGGAAATGCAATCAGACCGAGAAGGTAAGGCAGAAGAGAACAAGACAAGCAAGCGGTCCGCAACATTTATCTCTCGACGGGGTGTCTGACTCTGTGTTACCATGTGTTAGACCCTAAAATAGTTTTACGCCGGATTATCCCTTTAAATCAACTCACAGAAAAGAATCAGGTTCAGTCTCAGGTTGGTCTAGGAAGTTGGGCAGTAATAACTTACCCCCAATTTCTGCTGTTCGTAAGAGTTCTGTTTTTTCCAGACGCCGGAGCATGCCGCATTAATCCAGCACAGATCAGTCCGTGCTGGAAATGAAGTAAGGCACAGACACAAAAGAAACCATCCGGGTTCTTTTCCAAATAAAACACTATGTGACTACTACTAGACAGCATTTTACCCTGATAACACCATGGATGAGGAGATGCTGATTCTAGAAGTCTAGAAGTGGATTTCCTCCTCCGGAAGGACGCAATCTACTGCTTATATGGTTATGCGGCTGTCTTTATAGAGAAAACTCATTATCGCGTGATTGCCCCTGAATCCTCGGGTTCTTGTGATTTCTTGCGATTCCAGCTGTCCGTAATCCACCACGAAATTCGCCTCACAAACAGATCCGGTCGCAGCCTTTACGAAGGGGAACTGTTCCAGATGCGGTGGAAATTGGGGTAAGGAGCAACAGATCTTACAGGACAATCCAATGGGCAGCTGAATAGAAGGAAACAGTCTGTTAGCCTGTTAACAGCCCGAAAACCCAGCAAGCACACAGCTAAACTTTCGTTTTTGGAACATATTTAAGGTACACTACAAACTCAGGAGAAGGGAGGAGTTTTGCAGGCTCATCAGATATCATAGAGACTCATATGAATGAATTGATTTGCCGTTGACTTGCCTCTGTGTTAATCAGGCTTCATTTAACCTGATGATTCATTCAAAAATGTATTCCTGATTGGCACTGCCAAGACTAGAGTGTGCCACAAAAATGATGTCAGGATGTATTTATGCATCAAGTGTGTAAATTCCTCAAAACATAACGTTTCACCATCTGAGGCAGACACTCTTTCTGTGGGCTGCTTCCTCTCAGCCCCTCAAATCAAGCTGTTCATGTTGGTTGGATTTTTCTTCTTTGAAGTGGTCCGAGTTGGAAAAAGAAAGCCTAATTATTCAAAAGTCTAAAAATCTGAATAATTCAAGGCCTGTCTGATTTTCCTCTTTGATGGTCTGATTGTAAATGTATTCACCAGACAAATATCTCAATCAGCTGTGCATTATTTAGTGGTTTCTATTACGAGACGAACGGAGAGGCGTTATCTTCAACAGCTGATTCACAGGAATAGAGAAAATTCTACTTTTTCGCGCTCTTGCTATCATAGATCTTTGCCGCCCCATACTGGGAATCCTATTCACCGGTAACCTTTGCCTACTGAAGATCACCAACCCTGGAGGCTGAAATGTGCTTTTGAGATAAACAAGCCCGTCTCATAACAGGTTCACGTCTCTCAGGTTATGAAGAGCACCAACCACCCTGAATTCCCTTAGAGATCTCTTTGGGCAGCGTATTTGTTCCTGAAAGCATAAAATACTGAAGATGGCTCGTGTCGGATCAATAGACCATGTTCTATCTCTCTCTTTTTCCTCCGTTTTAATTACACCCTCTGAACTCCGACTCAGGGATCACGGTTGGCTTCTGTCAGTCATGTCATGTTTGCTCATTTGGAAGTGATTGAAGCCGACGTCCTAGGTGTGCCGGACCAATTGCCCTTTCCCACAAGCACAGCGGAGGAAGAAAAAAAATCAAACGCTCTCTAAAGTGCCGGGGGAAAGAGGAAGGATAGAGGAAGGTTTTGTGAAAGATCAGATGACGACACTTATCTGCAAACAGGCTTAGGTCCTTGTCTCCCCGAGGACATCAGGAGTGGTCTGACAAAGGTTAATGAGACCCTTTTTAGTCCGCTAAAGAGGACGCTTATATGAGTATCACTCAATTCATCATTCTGCAACCTTTGATGGGAGCTCCTCGCTTTGAAAAAAATTGATTGGCTGACTTCAAAATCAATCACAGAGAACAAGTATGGTGTTTAGGTTTTCACATGTCCTTGAACATCATTTTACCGGTTTAGAAAGAACAGAAAGTGTGCAGTTTTTGACACGGTAGAGTGGTCACTTGGATTTTTTTTTAATAACATAAATAGAGTAAATTAAGATGGTTTAAAACTCAAAATTACTGGATACTTTTGGTAGGGTGACCATTTTCTGACTTCATGATTACATGACTACGATTCACAGTCGCACAAGGTTAATTTTGAGAGTTTTTCACGCTTCTAACTCAGTAAGTCCACATGACATAAACTCAAAACTTAAGTTCAAAACCTGCGGACATTTAAAGGATTTTATAAACTTTCCCTGACAAAGCCGGACACCCTCTGAAAAAGAGGATGTAGGGTCACCCTACTTTTGTGAAAGATTACAGTTTGGGTTCAGAATTGGAAGGGGAAAAATTAGTACCATCCATTATATACGAATAACGGGCTCTCAGCAAATTATCTTCATAATTTAAATTCACTTTCTGGCTTTTAAACAGACCGAAACTTATTCTGATGCCTTTTAAGTGATCTACAAAAATGACAAAAGACTTCTGACCGAAACTTTTAGGTTTGTCACCTGCAACCCAGACGGTATCCAAAGATGTGGTTTAAGCACGCCTTCATTCAGGTTCTCAATTCAGAGTTTGTGATATCATATTTTAAAGAAAGGTCAAAATAGAATACGCTTGACTGTATCTGGACTGTATCTATGGTTGCATGATTGTGGCTCTCCCAGGTTGGCAGCTTGTTCTGTTCAGATTGTCGGAGAAACTCCTTCTATACTCGTCATACGGCTCTAGAAAAACTATTATTACACAAGATGCAGTGCTCATGAGTTTCATCTCACATCACACTTCTTCAGCGGCTACTTGGAGAAGATAGACCCTGACCTAGTAGCTCTATAACAATCTCATGTTTCTCATGTTTCTCCTTTCTTCAGATTGGATTTTTACCAGCTGCTCATGTTTTGTAAAATGCAGTACAGCTGTCACAAAACAAAACCTTCGCTAAAGTTTTCAAACTAAGGGCATAAAGAAACAGCATTAATGTTTATGGAGTTCTTAAGGTGAAAATATGATTTTATTGGTGTTTCGATGATTTGCACACTCAATAAAACTACAAAATTACATTTTATGTTGACCCAGGGAGATATAACCATTAGGTTGTGGACAGTAAATGGAAATCCAAATGAATAAACTACTGTAATAAACCTGAACAAATAGCAGTATGAAACTGTGTTTTGCTTAGTATGGAAATGCTCATTTAGAGTCTCAGTGAGGCTGAGATGCTGAAGAAGATTTCTCCCAGGGAAAAATTAGAAAGCCTGTTTATTTTCAGGATCTATTCAAACGAAAGACTGGCTTTCGTGTTTCATATTTTGGTGACATGTTAGCAGTAACACTCTGTGCTTTTTGAATCTCTTTCTTTTTGGGGGGTGATTACAGATCACGGCTAGTTTTGCATGAGAAAGCTCCCATAAAAGCCACACTTTAAACACCATTTTTTTCATCTAAAAGCTACCAAAATACCAGCATAAATGGTAGAAAAAGATGTGTTTGTGTCACTGTGTGTTACCCTGAAGATGGCGCTCAAAGATGCAGAGAATCTCTTTATTGTCAGAGTGTGCTTTTCTCTTTTTTTAGATCGTAAAAAGAGAAAAGTGTGGCAAACTGTAGCAACTGTCGTGTTTTAAAAGACATTCTCCTGACTACGACTCAAATGACCAGCTAGGTGATCCGGTCTAACCCGGGGATTCCATTGCATCCGCTGCACACGGGACTGGCAGGCGGATCAAAAACGGATCAGATCCGCAGCGTAGCTGGACGGAGGATGGATTGTGTGGTATCACTCACATTGATTATAATGCTTATTTGAGTATTTGATCCGTCTGCCATTCCTTAGCGGAGCGCAGCTGTTGTGTTGTGGAATTAAGCCACAACACAACAGCTGGCTATACTTTTACGGGCAATTTCCACCGCATCTGGAACAGCTACAAAAAGTCTGTATCTGCCGATTGTAGCTGACCATAACCATTCAAGTTCACGTGGCTTCTTTCAGTTCAGCTGAGGATTGCCGGACTCTGCAGCTGATCACAAAAGCTCTATTTTTTCCGGATGCCGAAACACAGCACAGATTAATCCGTGCTGGGAAGGAAGTCGGGCACAGACAAAAAAATCAAAACATCCGGCTTCTTTTCAAAATAAAACTCTCCATGTTTCAGTAGGATCGTATTTCACACCATGCCACAGGCGGAGACGAACAAGTGAAAGGTTTATGGACAGCATTTCATCCCGATAACACCATGGATGAGAGGATGCTGATTTTAAAGGTCGAGAAGTAGATTTCCTCCTCTGGAAGGACACAATCTACTGCTTATTGCTTGATATCGCGTGATTGCACGTGGTTCTTGTGAGTTCTCGCGATTCCTGCTGTCCGTAATCCGCCACGAAATCGCCTCACAAACGGATCTGGTAGGAATTGGCATACGGCGAAAATCGCCCCCGATAAGGATTGGAGCCATTTTGGATGCAGTGGACAAGATCTCACGAGATCTTGCATGTTTCGCCCTGAGACACTGAACCGAACTTCGACTGAAGTCTAAAGTATTTGCTCAGTTCTAGAAAATAAACACAAAACTAGAAGAAAACTGCAAAAAGTAATTAAGACATGTTGCGTAGACGCCCTCATGGAGACACTGCTGTCTGCCTCTGATTAACTGCCTCCCTCAGTGTGCTGACAGAGGCACAATGGGAGAGTGGAGCAGGCAGGGTGTAACAGCACAGTGTGTGTGTGTGTGTGCGTGTGTGTGTGTGTGTGTGTGTAGCTCCTGCAGCGTCTTTGCGTACTAAAACTCTCTGTGGAATCACACTGGATCATCACTATTATATCTCTGTATAGATGTCCATGTGTGTACTTCATTACAGTACCGTTAAAGCAGCTTCAACATTCATGTATCCTGTCACATGAACTTTCTGTTTCTACATCTTGTATGTTCGACTTCTTTAAAGTTCAGCTGTTTTCATAAACACTGTCACCTCTGTGTAAAAAGACCTGTTAACCAAACTAATGGAGGGAGAATAACAGTCTACTCAGCTGAATAGAAGCCACATCAGGGACTTATCTCATGTGTATGCCCAGTTATTTAATAGGCTGATAAGACCTGAATCAGCAGCTTTTTGGAGCTGATGGGAATTGCAGAGTGAGTTATGATTTCTGTGGGTTTGTTCCTCAGAGACAGGATTTTTACCTTGTGCTACCTTCACGCTAAAATATGGCAAACTGCAGCTGTAGAAAAACTGTTCTTCAAGAATTCTCCAATACTCTGTCGCAGTCGAACATGAATCGTATCACATAAACGTTTATCTGCTGTGAGCAAGAGGTGCGGAGAGTCTCTGAAGTAATACAGTTCCATTAAACAGAAAGAAAGCGAGAGGTGTCAGACTGTTTCTGGTGTGGGCACTGAGTGAAAACCTATCTGTGAAGTTAATGTTCCAGCAAGTTTTGATTTCACGTCCTGTAATCCCTACAAACAGGCTCAAGCACTCAAGGAAAGCCAGAGTCAAGTGATAAGCAGGGAGCAGAACAGGATCACCAGCTCCAAGCTGCTACAACAGATAACTTGTTTTCTTCCCTGCAGGTTTTTCTGCGTGATCCCAGACCCTAATCAGATCCCACTCCAGGCTAAATAAAGTCAGTGACAGGTTTTTTCAAAGTGGTAAATAATTTTGAAGGTTTATCCTCCTCACAGATAACGCTCTTCCCCTGCTCTGTCTTCCCTCCTTCGCCACAGCCAGACAAAAGTGTGAAGTCTGCTCAATTTATACCTCCTCCTTGCCTCGCTCTTCCTCCGCTCTCACATACGGCCTCAGATCAGATGGATCGTTGTTTGGGAGAGCCTAAAAACACCCTCATGCGTCCAACCCTATAAGAATTATTATTCTAATCATAGCAGAACTGCGTAAAGTGGTAAAGGTGGTAAAAATACACAAAAATCCCATCCCTGAGTGATAAAACGCAGATCATGATACAGTTAATCCATAATGATTTAATTTCTCATTCGTACCCTCATTACCTCTTTTATTTGCTCTTATGTTCCCTTTCTCGCTTTACTCCTTCCTCTTCCCTTGTTTGTTATAAACCTTGCTCATTTGTTTCCTTGCATTACTCGTACCCTCATCTTCTATTCCCTTTTTACTGGTGTGTTCATTCCCTTGTACCCTTATTCACTTGTTCTCTTATTTTCTCATTCCCTTTCTAAGTGCACCTCTTTACCATTCCCTTATTTCTTGGTCCCTTATGCACCTAGACTCTTGTGCCCATGTTCACTTGTTCCCTCATTAACTTCTTTGTTTTCTTGGTCCTTCCTTTGTCATCTGGGTTCACTTAGATTCTTGCACCCTTGTTCACTTGTTACCTTGTTCCTTTCCTCTATAGTTCACTTGTTCTCCAATTCCCTTTTAAAGTGCACTTATTTACCATTCCCTCTTTTCTCGGTCCCTTATGTACTTAGACTCCTATGCCCATGTGCACTTGTTCCCTCATTAGCTTGCAACCTTGTTTCCTTGATCGTTTTTTGTTCCCTCCCTTGTCCTCTATAGTTTACTCACTCCCCCTTCACTTGGTCCTGGGTTCACTTAGATTCTTGCACCCTTGTTCTCTTGTTCCTTTTTCCTTTCCGCTATAGATCACTTGTCTCTCTAAACTTGGTTCCTTGTGTACTTAGATTCTTGTTTCTCTGCATTCATCCACCCTTAAATCTTTACTTGCTCCCTCACTTACTTTTTTCTCATTTTCTTGTACTTTCAAAAGTTCACTTGTTTACTTATTCACTTGGTCACTTATCCCTTCCCCGAACTCATTCATCTTCACTTGTTCCCTGGTTTACCTTGTTTACTTGTACCCTTGTTCACTTGTGCCCTTCTAGTTCATTTGTTCACTCAGCTTTCTTTACTTGGTCCCATGTTAACTTAGATCCTTGTACCCTCGTTCACTTACCCTTGTTATCTTTTTTACCACTCTGCTTACTTGTCCGTCTTTTACCTAGTCCCTTGATCACTTGTTGCCTTGTTCCCTCAATCTCTCATCATTTCACTCGCTTACTTTCTCGTCAGTTTGTTCACCCATTTTCTTGTTCTCTTACTTTCTTGTCCCCTATTTTGCTCACTTGGTCCTTTCTTCAGTCATTTCCTTGCTCCCTTGTTACCATATTCACTTTCTTTTCTCTCATTTCCATTATTGTGGGATTATGAAGTACCCGACATAAACCAATGATGATATTTTTTTTGTCACCTTTCTTCTGAGCTGTATGAGTTTAACTTTTTTAATCTTCCGAGGAGTTTCTGAAGAAAAAAATGAACATCTTTTTTAGCAAATATATTTCTTTTTTATACAGTACTCATGTTCGGCTTGATTGAACCACATGGCAGTAAGAGTGATATGGATAACAAACCAGGGTAAGTCATAAAATCTGGATGACATTACATGCAAAAAACGTGGGTCGAACCTCAAACCATCAGAGACATGAGAGATGACTGCTACAGCTCATCAAAGCAGAGCTCATCAAACAGATTACCCTGAGAGAAAAGACTCTGAATCACAAAGCCGGGAGATCAGAGTCGCCCTGATTACAGGTTTTTGAGTTCAAAGCCTGGAATAAGAGTGTCTGAAAAATTTGGGACTGATAAAACCTGTAAAATAATAGGTTATAATTATCCTGGGCTGTGTGAGTCTGTCTTGAAACACAGATCACCTTCTTCAGTTTTGAGCATTTACTGGTTGTGTGTTATACAATTGTCTAATATTATGTTAATTTGTCACAGTTGGATCGGTGGTTACACAGTCTTTAAAAGAAGTAAAATGTCAACCAACCCCATCCAAACATGTGCGTGCATCTAATGATACGAATAATTATGGCCCTACACCCCGTAGCAGTAGATAACATGGATACACCAGCTAAGTTTGAACATAAATTTTTTTTTTGCACAAATTTACGAGTTTATAATCGTGCACATTTCCTTTTTTCCCTTAACAACTTTTGCTTTTTTTCTCTCACAAATTTAAAACTTTATAAACCCTCAAATTTGCAATTTTATTCTGATAAATTTGTTACTGTTCCATCACACAAATTTGTGATTTTTCCAAACAAATTTGTCATTTTTTTCCCCTCAGAAACTTGAAACTTCATTAACCCCAAAACTCATGGCTTTTTTGTACAAATTGCTGTTTATTTCACATAAATTTGCTGATGAATTTTCAGCCCAAATCACAGAACATTACTCGTCTAAACTAATTGTTAGTTTATAAATCTGTTGTTGACTGCAGTCATGATTTGCTGCAGTTCTAATAAAGACAGTCTCAGTCTCTAAAGACTCCTGCATTTGTTCCTTTTTTGCTGCCTGGTGTAAACACGCTTATTAAATTCTCATGAGTTTTATGAAATCATGCTTATTAATCAGAGTGAACATTTGCCACATTCACCATCTTTACAAGTGTTCGATCACGCTAACAGTTGCTGACTGGTGCTGATCACAAGGTATAGTCAGAGTAAAAGTTGTGATCTGATAATGGGTGAAATGACACCACACCTTCATAATCTCTAAATCTGTATTCTTTCACACTTTGTCTGTGGACTTACTGAGGAAATATCTGTGAAACCAAATCCAAACATTGCAGCCCTCAAAACCCTAACTCAATTTTAACAGGAACAACCTCCTCTCCTCTATCATATTATGTTCATTTCCCATTTTTCTCTCTCTCTCTGTGCCTTTCCTCTTGTTTTTATTGATGTTTTCATATTGTTATTTTGCGCCTTGTGTAATATTCAGAAGGAACATTGAAATGGTCTTAATGGGATTTTGTCTAATAAATGATTAAATCTAATATCATCTCAGCCCTGCTTTTTTGAGCCGTTTTCCTGTGAGATGTCTGGGCTGAAACTCATTTAAAAGAGTATTTTTTTATTTATAAAATCTCACTTTGAATGATAAATGTGGTGTTATTACTACTTTAGCTCTTCTTTTTCACCTTTTTTGAGATGTTTTATCTCTGTGTTTTTTTTACCCTGGTTTATCTCTTGAGGTTTTCAAACCTGTCAGGTACAGTCAATCACACATACAGGAGCAGATTCGATAATGGTCATGAGATTTCTTCAGGACTGATATAGAAAAAAACAGCGTGGTGCCTTAGAGCAGAGAGAATCTCATCAATGTGGATTATTTTCTCTGTTTTTTTATGGCTCTCTCTAAACCTGCAGCAGTAAAATCAGTGAGTGGATACAATAATTCGAACAGTCCAACACAAACATCCCCCCTGGCTGTGGTGGTATTTTTAGACACAGTGCACTTGACCCGAACAGGTGCGCAGTAAAACCATTTCGACAGTCGTCATATTAGATCGGTTCTGTCAGGTATTCACACTTTTCCAGGTGTGCTGCGTTTACAACAAGAGACATTTCACATCAGACACATTTGCTGCTTCTGCAGAGGGGTTTCTGCTGTAATGATGGCACATTAGTAGAGACAATTAATTTTTATTAGAAACAGAAACGAGGAACTTAGGAAATACGACTGCAGCGTGTTCTTTCTACCTAAAAGATTGAAGGTGCTGCAAATCATTTCTGCCGCCATTGCTCTGTCAAATGAAATACTTCTATATGGCTTTCAACGGTATGGGTGGATTGGAGTTGCTGACATTGTCCACATGCATTTGGATTAAAAGTAACAAAGTTGATTTTATTTATTGTGTTTGTTTTTATTAGATTTTACTGTGTTTTTTTCTCCTTGGCTTTTATCACCCAGTAGGAGGTTGACCTCATTTATTTTATTATATTGATTTATTGTATTTGTTTTTATTAGATTTTACTGTTTTTTATCTTATTTTATTTTTACCTTATCTATTGTGCTTCCGTTGAGTTATTTATTGTATTTTTATCTTTGGAAACCTTATGTTTGCTTAAATCATGCTGTGTAAATAAAATGGACTGGACTGGATTACAAGTCAGAAGTTTCCTGAAATATCATTTGGATGAAGATTTGACCATCCATCTCAAATCCAATCACAGTGAAAGAAATCATGTTTGCAGACAATGTACAACTATGTCATTACCCTGTTTGTAAATGTGATCACCACAGTATATATTAAAATCCCATTCCCTCAAGGTTATATTATAAAGTTACATTGAATTGAAAAAGCTGCTAATTGCAGACCTCATTTTCATTGGCTGCTCATGTACGCCTTTGGTAACTTAAATAAAACTTAGATGCTGGAATCATCAACTCAATTTAGCAAAATTAAAAGGTCTTAATGTTTAAGAAGAATATTGTGTTATAACCCTCTTTAGAAGTAGGTGAAGTACCATTCATAATATTACTGTTCATTTAGTTTCTATTTGAGCCAAACATGAATAATGCAGAAGTGACCTCGTACTTCAATGCCATTTTACCCTGATTATGCTAAACAGGGTTGTACGCTCTGCAACAATCAGAGGCCACGGTCATGTTAATGTCTTTACTGGACTACTAAGTAGCTCATATGTGCTCTGCTTTGAGCTCTAAATTACATGCTCTCCTTTTGAATTAGTTTCCATACTAGAGTAATTGTAATTTTCATGTCATAAACGAATGACTTCATGTCATGCAGGTTTCCAGGTAATAACTCTGGAGTCATGGCTCAGTCTTACAACAAAAGAAAATCAAAGGTAAGGGTTTGGTGAGCTCTTATCTTGAAAACTGTCACTAAAGTCACATCACAGCTCTTGTTCGTTGGTCTATATAAGGCTCAATTTTGATACAAGAGAAGTATCTGAGGGATCACCTTCTACACTGAGGAAGGTGGAGACTATTCTCAAGAGCATGGATCACCCACTTGACAACACCTTAATAGACCAAAGGGCCAATGGTGGTGGACGGCTCCTCTCTTTTCACTGCAGGACAGAAAGATTCAAGAGATCTTTTGTACCAACAGCCATCAGACTTTACAACTCTTCTGTAAATAGTAGATGACTTTAAGTTTAGACATTATTCTTATTATTTGTGAATTTTCCTGAGCTCTAAATTAGCATAAAAACAACACTTCCCTGTTAGTTTTTTTGCTCGTTGCACATGTTTTTGTCTGCGGTTGGCATTATTTCTCAGCTTTAGCCACACTTTTTATCTTGTACATGACAAAAGAAGAAGACAATTAAAGCAGAAAGTCAAAAACAACCACCTCCTTCTTTGTACAAAAAGCCTGTTTCAAACGATTCTCTGTTAATGCTGCTGATAACCATACATTGATTAAAAACCTTATTATGTTTCATGACATGTAGCCTATCCAATCAATGCTTAAGGCTTTATACTCAGACATGAAGAAAACAGCTTATCTGATGGTAAAACGGTGTTATTGTCTTCCCTTTAAAAAACACCTTTGAGCATAGACAAGCATGTCCAACAGGGGTTTCCGCGTGGAGGAACAGCTGATAACAAATACACATGTTTATATATCTGCTTTGACTGCAGCTAATTAGTAGACCAAGGCAAGGACAAGATTGCTAACCCCTTTAACCTCAAACAAAAAAACAAAACAAAAACAAAGGTCTACTCGAACCAATTCGTCTGACTCCTCACCGCCGTTGTTTCTCAAGCCACTCTGACTCATCCCCAGGTCACTGATCCCCCCTGAAATGACTTTACAGTAAACAAGACTGCCAAAGCTCTCACTTACAGTTCAATCAGAGAGCTATTCAACCAAACAGAGACCAAGCACCATGGGAGTCAAAGAAGACAAGTCATACTTCAGTGGCTGCCAGTGCAATGAGGTCAGTGTCTCACCTCATTAACCTTTGTGAACACTATTCACTTCAAAAAGTTTTTGTAAATCAACAATACAAGCAAAAAAGTTGAAAATGAACTTACAACAAAGAAGAAGAACAAGCTAGCTGTATGATCTTTATTCATCAACACAAACATGGAGTCACTTGGGGGTGTTTAAACATAATATTCAAACCAATCTTTCTAAACTTCATCAACAGTACATATAGAGTCCCAGCTGTAGCACTAGCCACCAAACATCCTTTTAACTTTGCCTGATTTCTTTAGCAAAGAGACTAAACACAACTCATCTACTCTCTTCCAGCAACCACTTGTCCATTACGGATTACTGCGGGGTGACACAGCTGAAGGAAGAACATTTATGATTATTTATCATTTCCTTGAAGTAATAATCACAATATTATTATCATAACATGGGTACTTGGATTTCAAATCAAACCATGCAAGTGTAGCGAGTGAAGAGTTGAAAAGTTATACTAGTGCTAAGCAATGCCACCTGGGGAATCACGCCCCATGAAATAGTGAAATAATTGTAATGGGAAGAAACACAAGGTTCGAAATTACCACAAGGCAAGAGACGGTTTGTACAAAATAAAGATGTCTTTATTGAACAAATGACCAGTAACTTCAAAACACCTACATCAACTGAAATACTTAAATTACTACAGCCGAATGGACAAACAAAAGAAAACCCTAGGATAGGGCTGGAGCTTTCCGTGGTGGCCAAAGAGGAAAACCCACCACCAGGGTCCTGGGTTGCCACCTTGAGCCTGCAGCACCTATCCAAAAGAAAAGGGAGAATTAAAACAGGCCACAGAGCTTCATGCGGGTAATTTGTTAAACACAAAACACAAATTAACAATCACAAAGCAACAATAAAGCAATAAGGACAAACAAGATAAACCCAAAAGACAATTTAATGTCTAATATAAACAAACTCAACAAAGTTGGCAAAAGAAATGCATCACATTCAAAGCAGAGTGGCGTAAGACGCCTGGAGACACAGATGCACCCAGAAGGGTTTCCAGCAGGGCGCCTCGGCCCCATGCCACCAGCAGCTGTACCGAGAGGAAGACCGTGTCACCATAACGCAAATTAGTACATTGAATGGGTGAAAGGAGCAGCAGTTTGCACAGACACACCAACAGGCACAAGACAGCAATGCACCGGAGAACTCTCAGCGGGGCAACCCGGCCCAACGCCACCAGCAGCCTGCCAAGCTGTTCCAAGAGAAAGATTGTGTCACCATTACGCAAATCTGCACATTAAATGGGTAAAGGAAGCAGCGGTGCACATGTTACCTGTGGGCCGCGGAGGGAAACAAACATCTCAATGGCCAACACACCAGCAGCCCAGCCACACCACGCCAGCTCCTTACGCGCTGTCCGCAATATATATTTTTTGTAAGATAATAGGGTAAGGTCCCGCCTCCTTCCCCTCTGGTTTGCTAGAATGGCTGGGCTCCGATTGGTTATTCCTTATGGCTGTGAAACATCATCATCTGTCATGTTAGAGTTAGGAGATTCAGAATTGCAATAATGTTCTGTTCGATGTGCAGTGACGAGAGCCCGCGCTCGGCTTGAGCATGTGTGATGTTTCCAGCTTTTCTAGCCAATCAGAGGCGAAGGAGGTGGGACTTTCTCCTACCATCCTACAAAAAAAAAAAAAAAAAAAAATCATGTCCGGAAGCAGAGGGGCGCGCATGCTACAGCTGCACTTTATAGCGGCGCGATGCCGCCTATCAATCAAAGCTATAGGTAAACTGGTACAGCGCCCCCTGCTGTAAGATGGAGTGCACCGTGCTCCATCTACACAAGCAAACCTCTTTTTTACATACAAATCAGTTCCCTTTAGCAACGGTGTCCCACAAGGGTCAATAAAAGGCCTACTGCCGTTTATACAAAAAGAAAAAAAGAGTTTATTTTTCAACTTTGCATTGCTGGATCTGTTTATTCTAACAATACAACCTTATGTGTAATGGCCCTCACTGGAAATCAGTGCAGTGGCAGGTTCGGCATTGAGAAGAAATTAGGAAAAAAAATCCTAACTTCTTCTTCAAATAGTATCAAAGTGCCCAAATTCCAGAGATCAGACATGCTCCAGATGAGGCATCTCACAATGCTGTGGTTGGACAGTATCCTGTACGGATTTCATCATATAAAAGGTCATACTCGACATTACCTGGGCAAAAACCTCTGCAGGGCCTCAGGTATTAAGTGCAGCACCAGAAAGCCACACTGTCACCTCACATCCTCAAACACTTCTACTTCACCATCTTCACCAAGCCACCTCTACCACAGTTAATTTACACCTTCAACCTCTCGACGATGGTAACAGCAGAGTAAGGACTCCTCTTTCTAAGGCTTTTTAAAATGGATGGGTAATTTTGAAGGAAAACTATTAAACCCTCTTTTAAAAAAAGAAATCAGGAGAGAAGATAATTGTTTCACTGTAACAGGCTATTAAAAAGCTGCTTCTCTGACACTGAAGGCATCTGTTGCTGTAGTGACGTGGAGGTGATGAGCTGTCAAGGAGTAAATGACCCGTCGCATGTGTGGGCATGTCTCTGCCACCAAGAAGCCTCCTGCTCCTTTTTGTCGAAAACAAGAAAATGAAAGGGAGAAAAAAAAAGGAAAATGCTGAAAGTGTTAGATGTGAATTACCTACTGTTCTGTAGGCGCTCATGATGATTCAACAAGGCAGCTCTCCAGGAGGCAGGATAACGGATCGCAGAGAAAATGAGCTGGATGGACTGTCTCAGCCTGAGGAATGAAAGAAAGTACACGCGATGGTGACCTGTAGAGCCAAAACTCAGGAAATGCATTTGAAAAACACTGAGGTACTTTTTCAAATTAGTTTTATTGTGCAGTAAGTAAATTTCAGTTTTCTTTTTTTCAATGTTTTTAAAGCTGGGCTTGGAGGATGCATTCATTCAACTTAGCATTTTTGGGACTCCTGTAAGCATCTCATTTAAGTTTATTTAATTTTAAAGCTCCTGTTAAAATCTTTTTTTTTGTTCATGAAATTAGCAAAAAAAAAAAAAAAAATTCACTTTGAGGCCTTTTCATGGTATCTAAGAGCCAATAAAAGCATCAGCAACAAGATTTATGAATATCAAAATTGTAATATTTATAGGGATATTCCAGCGTAAAATTAATTTAGGGTCAAACAAGAGACTAAACACAACTCACCTACTCTCTTTCAGCAGCCGCTTGTTTGTAGCGAGACCTTGGGCCAGTCCATTACAGACTGCAGTGGGGTGACGCAGCTCAAGGAAGAACATTTATGATCATATGTCAGTGAAGCAGCTTTTTAAATGTTCTTCCTTGAGCTGCGTCACCCCACTGCAGTAAAATGTCATGTTACTGACTTTTGTGTTATTTTTGTGAATATTTTATGCTGAAAATGTAAAAAAATAGGGTTGTTTCCTCAGCTGCACTGCTAACACCAACCCCCTTACACTCTGTTTCAGGCATTAAGAATTACACTAAAAAAGCTGTTAAATTTGTCACTGGTGTTCTTGTTTGCTTCTGCATATCATAAAAAAGCATTATTATGAATTTCAGTCTGTGTCATAAATGTCAAAAACTCCTGACAGCAGCTTTAACTGTGATTAAAAACGTAGCCTATGGTTTAATGCTGATTAAGCCTCACTTACACAGCTGATATACCAGTAGGTGATGTCTTAGTGGCATCCATTTATGTTTGTTTTACAAAGCAGAACTATTTAAGGTTAGCGAGGAAAAGAATTGTTTCAGGAAATCAATAAGCCCAAAGGGATAAAACAAAGGCATCTAAGGGCACTTGGATCTCCTATACAGATTGTTTTCTGGTCTCTCTGGGGCAGTAAAACCGACGTGGCTCACCACATCACTTGAGGGCGAAAGGAAAAAGTACCAAACATGTGCAGCTACTGATAACAAGAGGCCGTTTTATCTTGACTATATCTCTCACCGCTGATGAACAAACAAGATCGATCTTTCACTATCTGTAAAATACAAGATCAACTAACATGAAAAAGGTGAAGGAGACACACCTCTTTTTTTTATTGCCTCAGAGCAGCGGTGTACCAGGAAGCCATCACACTTAGTCCAATTATTTTAGAGGAGTATGTTTCATTTCTCCCAACCTTCACTTTATTCCTCGGAGATCGCTAATTAGTCGACATATTTTCCAAGTCGCTGTCCGCAAGAGACGAGCGGAACCTTGGAACAGAGTAAAGGATGCTCAGGAAATGAAAGACAGCGAGAACCAATCTGTCTTTCACGGCTAAACAACACAGAGATGTTTTATGTTGTGGATATAGACCGTCAGTTTGTAATGACAACAGGAGGAAACAAGAGGACGGTCCATTTAACAGCTGCAACCTCAGAGGTGAAGAAAAGAAAAACATTTCAGCACTGAGGCCAGTTTCCTTATTCTGATGTTGTTTATCTGCTTGTGTGGACACTGTTGCTGTTTGGGGGAGAATGAGGCGTGAATATGAAGTTTCTCCGTGCTCGTCCCTTCATTACCTGCTCTCTGTGCTTCTCATTACCGCCTCTTCTCCAGGGATGGCAGGGACGAGCTCTCTGACTGCGGGGCCATTGTACTGAATGACATTATGCTAATACCAGGTGTTCTACAACTGTTTACCTCTGACTGTACATAAAAGCAAATAGCTTGGCTCTGTTTCTTTTTTTTTCAGGTTTGTAGGCTTTTTATTTGTTTGCCTCTATTGGACTTTAGAGCGGTGAAGAGGAAGACAGGTATGAATGCAAGAAAAACACTGAAAATCACATCTTCTGCTGAGGCTGTAACAACTTCAAATTTTGAGCACAAACACGTAAAATAAATGGAATTAATTTTCTTTTAACTTGCAAGAGTTTAATCAGAGGTCCTAGTTAGTACAAGTTGTCTGTTAGGCCGAGTCAAGACTTCCTTTAGTGCCTTAAAGGTGGGGTAGGCAGGATCTGAGGAAGTGACAGTTTTTAGGAGAAATCTTGAATGTAAACTCTACCCCTCCCAACCAATTTTCCTCTCAGCTCCTCCTCTCCCCTCCTTCTCTGCCCCCGATATTGTAGCACGCTAACTTTGTTTGGGCTCATGAACGACACTGGGGAGCAGCGTCTACCTCACAACCAATCAGGTTGGGTAGGCGGAGAACAGCTTTGTTTAGTCAGAAAGAGCGGGCTGCTCCAAAAACTCGAAATGTTGACTACACAGACATAACAAAACACAGCGATATCATTATATTACCAAATGTCATCAATAACCAATGGCTATTGACTGATATTAAAAGCTTTTTTGTATATACACCACAAAAAAAGATGCTTCTTTAACGGATTCCTGCCTAGCCCACTTTTAAGCATAGACTGTATATACTTTGGACAACTTGGTTCCGCCTTAAACCAGTACACAGATTTGAAGCCGAAAAGTTCTCCGTATTTCCGCAATTTTTCTCCACTTCCTGAAACCAACATTGCAAAGCAGCATTGTACGCATCTGGCGGGAGAGTCGCCAAGAGTCGCTGTGATGACATGAACATGACATGAAACATGAACCCCCCTTATAACTTTTAAAAATGGAGCTGCACAGAAAAAAAGAGGACTTAAGTACAAACCAGTCTTACAGTAACTACATGTCAACTTCGCAACTAGGGGGGAGAAACATTTTTATTCTGTGTAATAAATTTCTAAAGTTTGTCCACAGCTCCATAGGGATTGCTAGAGGAGACGGGACTTATGATCTATACTGCAGCTTGTCACCAGAGGGTGCTGTTCGCGGGGTGGCTTCACCCAGCGAGGAGGCAGACGGCGCTCACTCTGTATACAATCTATGACCTTAAGTTAGAGGAAAGGACAGAGAAGTAATATGGGTCGCGGTCATCATTTCATGTCAAGATCATCTTTCACAGTATCATTGAAACAGTCTGTCCCCAAACTCTGCTCGAGGTTGGGTTTTTTTTTTTAATCACAGAATTTGTTCATTTTGGGAATAAAATTAATACCTTCAAACCAAATTCAGGGTTTATCAGACCAAACAGCCAGAATTTCTCCTACAGGCGAGTATTAAACCCTGGTTGGAAAAATCAAACTCCAGACAGAAGCGTCTTTTTCTACTATCTGGTTTCAGGTTGAAGTCTGTCTGAATTTTTCTATTTTGTTGTGACAGAATTCAGCGGATCTTCACAGAGTCCTGACCTTAACCTCATCCAACACCTCAGGGGTAAACTGGAGCGTGACAGGTCTTCACACCGACACCAGTGATCGACCCCCTAATGCTCTTGATGCCAAGTGGAAAGAAAAAAAATAAACCTGCAGCCAGACTCAGATATGAGGAGGAAAGCTCTCCTCGGAGAGTTCAGGTTGTGAAGCAGAATATGAGTCTCTGTTACGAGGTGTTCTGCTTTAATATAAAAGGTGAAATGTTGGAAAATTCAGATAGACACACTGTGCATAGAGTAGTACAGCAGCAGTCCACACAGAGGGAGCTGGTAAGAACAGGAGGCAGTATTCATCATGCATGCAGAAGGAGCACACATTGTAAAGAAAAACATACATTTTTAATTCTGATCGTGAGTAAAAAATTAAACTTTAATGCCTCACTACGATCCTTGAGAGAGTTCATCATTGTGATTCCTACTCCCTGCTGCAAAGACTCGTAGAAAATCATCTTTAAGAACCACAGCTCTAACTGAAATTTAAGATGTTAACAAAGTGTGCCATTTCTGAATCCTCATTTTACCAAATTGAAATTGATTTAAATTGACTGATGACGTCCCCCTCTGAGCCAAATACAGTCGGTGGTCCTCTGCTTCTCTCCCCCTCTGTCTCTCCTTCCCTCTTACAGGAAAATGACAGCCTATACAGTCACTTGGGGGCAGTTATGATCACAACAAACCAATTTCCGTCAATTCCAAAGCTCTGCTCTGAGGGAAAATGGAAATAAGCTGATTTTCACCGACGGTGACAGAATTGTTCCTACTTACTTATTAAAGTCTAACAGGAAAATAAACCAATCACTGATCAGTATATGATAATGAAAAAGTCATTGATTCGATCATTTCATGCACGGCCTGAATCAATCAAATGCAGAATTGAGTTTTGATTGGAAACGGTTCATCCAGATGGGATTGCACACGCTGCAAGGTTACAATTATAACAGAACCTATAGAAACTTTACTGAGTGACATTAAACTCTTACCCCTTCGGTGCAGAATATCTAATACTCAAAATACTGAAAACAATGTTATATAAAAGGAGTGGCTTTTAAAGTTTAAAGTCAGTGTAGCGAGAAGCTCAAGCCCACGTTAGCCAATCAGAATCCTGCATAGCAACAACAACAACGTCCCTTCCTTCTTTCCTGTGCATGATCTGCAGTCGGCAACCCAAGTCTCTTTTTTCCTCCAGTTTTCCAAAATCTCCACTCTGGACGGAGTTTTCAAAAAGCATCATTTTCAGGGTCCAATTCTCTGTTTGCGTATAAATGACGGGTGCAGATGATGGTTAATGTCTCTGTTTTTTTTAAATGACCAGGCACGTATAAACGGGGCCTTATATCGATGCTTTTTCATGATATCCAAAAGCAAAAAGCGACACAAGTGGTGATTCTTGAATTGTAATTTTTGATGCCTGAAACTGGTGTGAGGGAGTAGGTGTTGGTTAAGCAACTGGAGAAATGCTCCGTTTGTACAGTTTCCACGTAAAAGGCAGACGAGCCAGCTCTGCACATAAAAAAGGCGATTTATTGGAATAGTCTGATTGTACCTCCACTTTTAAAATGCATGCTAGTCTGGCTGAAACTGCACTTTTAACATGCATGTTAACACTATAAAAAAAAAGTTGGACCAACATACCTTGATAATGTATTTGAGAGTTGATTTTCTCTGTCATTAACACGGCTTAATCGAGCTGGAACCGGCCTATGCATTCTGTACATGCTCCAGTGGTCACGCGCCGGGCTCTGAGCTGGTGGTTCAGCAGCATAAATGCGTTGCTAGGAAGAAAAATGGCAAAAAAAAATGGTCAGACAAACAAAGGACATAACATGAAACTGTCCTCACAAATAGCACAGAATTGTGAAAGCCACAGTGCTTTTTTTTGTTTTTTTGTTGATGTACATCCCGTGTTTTGAGTCATGAAACGTCAACTAGGAATCGACCCGATAGTAACAAGCTGAAAGGGGGGCGTGTTGCCACTTACTACAGGACAGGCATATTGGCTTCTGTCAGTAATTCGATTCTTGCCCAGTCCAGTTGCCTCATTGAGCGATGACCAAGCCCTTGACAGTGCATGTGAATGTACAGATTGTGCAATAAAAAAATCAATACGAATTCATCACTTTCTTTAAAGATGCACCACCATGTGGATCTTCCCAGGTCTTATGATTTTACTTCTTTTTCATTATTGGCCCTGATTGGGTTTCTGCAGCTTCTGGATCCAGCCTCCTGTGGATAAATCAGTTTCTTTTGTGCTCAAAGTTCAACTTTGAATGTTGCCGTTTTGTGTGTATAGTAAAAAGATCCTGAAAGACTTTAAATAATGGGCAATTCCTTTATATGACAGGACACACGGGGTGGGAGAAAAACCCTTGGGTCAGGGACAGACCCTTTCTGTAATTCGATTCTTGCCCAGTCCAGTTGCCTCATTGAGCGATGACCAAACCTTTGAGCTCGAATGTTGCTGTTGTGTGTATAGTAAAAAGATCCTGAAAGACTTTAAATAATGGGCAATTCCTTTATATGATGGCACACAGGGTGGGAGAAAAACCCTTGGGTCAGGGACAGACCCTCTCTTCAAATGTGTTGACTCAAAGCCAATTTACAGATTCAAGGACAAGCAGGAGACGGAGATTTGATTCACAGATAAGATGTTTATTTAAAGCTGCTAAGACTCGTGAAAAATTCCTAAAAGAAAGAGGGAACACCATTAGTTACAACAGTCATTGTATTTCCACAAGTTAGGTTCATAAATAATTCAAACAATTAGCTTCTACTTTAAAAAATGTATTAAGGCAATTCTAATTAAAATACTTAGAGTACCTACTGCAGGGAGATCCTATAGAAGAACCCACTAAACATCACCGAGTGAACACAACACTGCAGTTCTTCACTGCAGTCTATAAAACATTCAAGTGACCACCACCAGACCTACCACAGCATGCAAACAGGTGGACCCCACACGTACTCCCCACAGCTCGTACCTCTGTAAGGGAACAAAACAAAACACTGAGTATCAGTTGATTCAGTTCACCTCAAGGGAGTAATTGTCTTGGCTCGTACAAGGACAATTTATCTCAAACTAATGCAAGTCCTGGATGTACAATTTCACAGCGAGGTATTCTCAGTCTTGCACAAGCTGCAAAACACAAGATCAGCTGACCTTGACACAAATATTCAAGTCTCTGTAGCACTGTGAACAAATATAATTCGACCAGTCTAAATTTAAATTCAACTGTATTTATACTTTTCGTACAAGAATGTAATTCAAAAGAGGGCACAGAGGCTAAAAACAACAATAAAACCCGACCCTCCCACCCACATACACACAAAGACACACACATAAGCGTGCACACATGCAAGGGCACACAAGAGCACATAAGATATATTGCTGAAGAGACATGGCTTGACACTGAGACATTGTGTGTGGAACAAGCTAGCTTTAGGAAACACTGGAGATAAAAAGATATAAATGGTAAAAAGAAAGACTAAATTCTGATGGACTAAAACAAGAAGAGAATGTAAAATGAACAAAAAAGAATAAAAATACATAAAATAAACATGAAGAATTTTGATTAAAATGAACAGTAGCAATAAGAGGAATAAGAAAAACAAATCAGTGAAAAGCCCTGTTAACCCTCCTCCTGTGTTAGGGTCTGCGCCGACCCGTTTTTGGTTTTAAATGCTTAAAAGAACCACATAAATTAGCTTTTTGGCATCAAGACTTTTTGACTTTGTCAGGAACCTCTATTTCAACAAAATAAAAACAAAAAATTGTTTGACTAAATTATAAAATGCTCTTAATAAAACGATGGCACTTGTCATGTTAGGGTCGCTGTTGACCCGGTTAGATCAATATCTAATAATTAGAGCAAAAACTAAAATCATAAGTGCACTGTCAGGCACCACACTGACAGTCAGATCCTCTTCTGATCATGTGAGATTTAGGAAATTCTCATTTTGCCATGTTTTTTCCTGCACAAAACAACGTCAGACATGTGAGATCAATTCAGTATAGATGTCTGTGTGAGGGGTATACTGACAAAGAAAGGCCCAGAGGCCCACTACAAAAAATAGTATAAGCAATGTTCTCATGGATAATGAAGCCTAGCGAGGTAACCTAGAGAGGAGAACTGAACTGGATGATAGAGAATTGTTTAAAAGCTAGCACAGGAGGAAGGTTAAAAAAGGGGAGTCTTGAGCCTCTTGTTAAAAACATCAGCAGTCTCTGCGGCCCTGAGGCTCCCCGGCAGGCTGTTCCACAACCGGGGGCCAGAGAACGTCGAGAAGGACTGACTTAAACCAAAGCTAAACCAGGCTGAGCAAAGCCCAGCAGGACGATGGGAATAAGAAGACAAAACATGAGTCTGAAAATTAAACCTGAAATGAAGAAAGCACAGGTGAAAATTTCAATTTGTAGCCTACTTTTTTATCAGTCTACAAGGTACACAACAGTCAGGGCAAACATCAGCAACAGCTTTCATTAGACTTGTGACTAAACTTGAATCATCAGGTGTTTTTATCCAGCTCTCTCTTACCTGCACACACGGCTAGCAGTCCTGCTACACTGCTACCAGGATCAGACAAAGAGGGTACAATCGCCCACACCTGGCCTTATAAAGACAGGAAGAACTACCTGACCCTACCTACAGAGGGGAGTGTTTTTGACTTTGGTTTCAGCCCTCACATTTCTACATCTACAACTTCTTTCTCCATCCGTCTCTTCACTTGGTTAATGATCTGCTTCTGCTGAGCAGCAATGGAACAAACTTCTAAATCAAGTCAAGTGTGCCAAAAAAAATGTATGTGAATAGCCAACTCAGCTCTCCTCACCTTCCAAAATTTGGCGTTGTTCAGTCGAGCCCTACTGGGACCTACAGGACTGTTCTTTCTTCTCCCTCCCACTTATATAATCAGCAGCGCAGCATGACAAATCAAGTTATGGAGCAGGCTGAAAATGGCATTCAATCATCCTGTTAGAAAAAAAAGAGAAAGGAGTGGAGTCATTGCTGCAGAAGCCTCTGTGGCTGTGAGATAAACTCTGGACAGACCCACGTAGATAAATTAGAGAGTGACACAAAAATGACTTGTGGACCAGGAGCTGGTGAAAGAATTTTACTCTGTGTCGCTGTCGGAATAATGGCCTGCAATGAATCGAGCTGCAGACTTGTAAAATGGTAAACATAATAGCCCGAGTGAATGTAACTGCCCGTTTCTACCCTCACTGTAAGCGACCTCAGCAGACAGCCGAGTGAGGTTAATTTACTGAATGTGTTTCAAAAGACTGGATCTCTTTTATGAAGAAACTCTATTGAGATAAAAGAAATTCAAGCTCTAACAGTGGAGCTGGATTTGCTGACAGTTTAAAGGTGCTAACAGGCGTGTGGGAAGATAAAATGACTCACATATGTGTGCTCATATGTTCCAGCTATAGATCACTATAACAGTTATTTCATCAGAGAGCAGGATCCATTAAAGGGTCAATTCCTGCGGGAGATTGCCACAGCTACATGCCAGAGAATTTATTATAAGGCTCAGATAGAAAGACTTACGTATCCTGAATTTATTGATAGTTTCCCCACATATAAAATGGATAGGGATGAATACTCCTCCCTTGCCGCCTCACTGTTTTGCATATATCCAATGTTGCATCTGCAACATTGGCTGCAGCGGGTAATGTTATTCCACAAAAATGTGCTGTGCAACAAAATCATGAAGAAGAATACTGATCGAAAAACATTTGTTTTCCTCCATGTTTCCTCTAGTTCTTATGCTGTATTCCAGTCGTACTTGGAAGTTGTAATTTCCGAGCTCAGAGTCAGAAATTCACCTGGAACACCCCCCTGAAGTCAGAATTCGGTATCGAAAAGTCGGACAATCCTCACCAACCCCAACTTCACGACAACTTCATAATCCAAGATGGCAGCGCAGTGCATCGGCAGTAAAGAGTAACAGTGAAAGCTCTTGTAATGTATTATTTATTAGCACTTCTGTTTGTTTTTTTGTGAAATTAAGTGGTTTATGTTGTACAGCCCAACGTCTAACTGTGAACACGGCGATATGGTGTTTGTAGAGTAAAATACTGTGTTATGTTTACAACCAGTATCGGAAAAAATACCGCTAACAATCACTGACAACAGCTAACAACAGCTAACAATCACTGACAACAGCTAACAATCACTGACAGCGGCTAACAACAGTGACAACCACTAACAACAACTGACATTGGCTAACGACAGCTGACAACGGCTAAAAACAACTGACAACCGCTAACAACAACTGACAACAGCTGACAACAGCCAGCAACAGCTGACAACAGCTAACAACAGCTGACAAACGCTAACAACAGCTAACAACAGCTGACAACCGCTAACAACAACTGACAACCGCCAACAACAACTGACAACAGCTGACAACAGCCAGCAACAGCTGACAACAGCTAACAACAGCTGACAAACGCTAACAACAGCAGACAATTATAAAAAAAACTAACAACAGGTAACTGTAAGCATCTGTTTTGGTTTTTTGACTTGTTAACTGGAACACCTTAAACTCAAGTGTAGCGTCATTCCCATCTCCGACATCCAACTTTCGAGGTAACTGGAATGTAGCATTTTATCTCGCTCTGCAAAGTTCAATAAAAATATTCAATTGTTAATTTCCTG